ATTAGAAGGGAAATCTGATGCAAGACTAGTGGCTAAGATGCCCCTGGCAGGGGACCCTGGGATGCACAAGAGGGGAAGCAGGTCAAGAAGCTTCTGGATTGTCCCCTGGGCTTCCTGGTAGATCTCTTTTTCTCAGATGTTTAGATTTATTCCCTCTGTATCACACCTTTCTGACCTACTCTACCTTATGTGAAAGATCTAGAAGTGACAAAGAACTGAAATATTAAACCTAATACAGAAACACACAAACTGCTTCAAGATCTGGATTCATGAGATTGCTGACCCCCCAAGGTGAAGGATCTTTTCCCTAAATCATCTCTCCACCACCCAAAGTGTCCAACACAACACCTTGCTCATAACAGGTATCAATTAAATGACTGCCGATAAACTCAGGGACAGCAAGCAAGCAAAGCAGCCTTCTCTTTCTCAAACAGTTTCTCTGTCTGCTCCTGCACTGTAAGACGGAGCAGTTCCTGACTGTGGCTATTGCATATTCTTTGTATTCTGTGACTGTGCATCCACAAGTTTGCTCACCCTCCCCGACGCATGCATACTATATCTGAGAGGCTGACCTCCCACATCCCCTGATAAATGGCACTATTTGTATCCTTGCAGATCTTAATCTCACTTATGTAATGAATTGAACTTATCTTTTTTTGAAGTGCTCTTTCCTTGGAAGGCAACAACCATCCCATCCCCCATTTTTCCCCCTGCATTTATGCTACTCATTCAGAATAAGCTTTCTGTTGCTTTCAGTCATGGTATGTGATATGCCTGGATGCTTAGGGCAGGTTCATAATACCTCTTGGTTATTGGCTTATTATAGGACATTACACCATAAGGAGAAACTCTGGGCAGACATGGTATACACACACACACACACACACACACACACACACTATAGTCTTGTAGCCTTTAAAATAATCCCTTTTAAATGAGTGCCCAGAATCTTCTGGTGGCTACCTGGGCCATCTTGCCTATCCCAGCTGTCATTCTCCCCATCTTCACTCCAACAAATTCTTCCTTCTCCTCCTGTCTTCTTCATCCCCTGTGATTCTCTCAGATGTTTCTCCCAGCCCTGTATATCTACCTGTAACTCCATAGTTAGCAATGAGGCTTCCTGAAAGCTAGCAAAGGGGATTCAAACACTGGTTGACTTCTACCTCCTTCTCTACAGCATGGAATCAAAATTTTATACTGCAGCTAGAACCAGAGAGCACAGAGCAGGCATTCAACTTTTTGGTTTCCTAGGTCTCCAGGCATTTAGCAACCCAGATTGGTTGTGCTTCAGATATTTTGCCAAGCATTGAAAATAGTTAAGAACATATACGTCTCCTTTGCTGGGCCTTTTCCTATTTTCCAGGAAAGGAGTCTGTGTTTATGGGGGATTTTGTTTGTCTATTTCTAATCACAAAGACTCAATACAATGTTTATTTTCAAATGTCTTGATTCCCATCCTCAGTGTATCTTCTGAGCCCTGACCTCCTAAATTAGTGTGTCTCTTGAGATGCAAACTCCACAGGAATCTCAGTATGAGGGGTGCTCAGTGTATTTTCTTAACCAGATGCCCTTTATAGACTATATTAGTCAGCTTCCTGTTACTATGACCAATGACCCAAGGTACTCAACTTTTTAAGACAAAAGGTTATTTTGGCTCACAATTTTTAGAGGGTCCTATCCATGATTGGTTGTCCCTGTTGTTTTTGTTCCTATGGTGAGGCAGCACATCACGGTGGGAGCATGTGACAGAGGAAGACCACTCAACTCATAGTCAGGAAACAGAAAGGGAGAGAGAGATGAAAGAGGAAAAGGGGCCAGGATCCCACTATCCTCTTTGAGGGCACATCTCTCCTGATCTCCAATCAGGTCCCACCTCTTAGAGTTTCTACCATCTCCTAAACAGCTCTAATTGGGGATCAAGCATCCACCACGTGGGCCTTTAGGTGACATTTAGGATCCAAACAACCACATAGACCTATATAATTGTGAGTGTGTGAGTAAGAGTGAACCAGTGTCCAATCCTGTGTGCTGCCTGATGATGTCTGTGCTCAGTATGGTCTCCAGCCCAGCAGCATGAGCAGCACCTGCACACTTGCTAGAAATGCAGAATCCCATACCCTGCTCCAGACCAACTGAATCAGAATCTAACTTCTAAAAAGTCCCTGAGGAATTTATATGCAAATTAAAATCTGAGAAGCACTTACTTTATCGGACAAACTTGACAAAATTTGTTTTCTCGCTTAATGAGGTAGTATTATCATAACGATCCCCATTTCACATGAAATGTATTTTTTTTCCTTCCTTTTTTTGCTGTCACATATCCATCCCATAAAAGCAGCATTGCGGCAAATGAAAATAAGTTCCCACATTCCAGAGAGTGGTCATGTTGTCTGGTAATTCTCCACAAAGGACCCAGGATCTGTCCTACTCATACAAATGCTCATGGCCTCTTCCTTCTTTGAAGCCACCCAGTGGCTTTATGTGAGTCAGCACTTCTCAGTTGATTTGCACACATTTCTCAGTTAATTGGCATGCATGGATGATGCTTTATCAGGAGGTTTTATCCATATGGCCAGTGTCCACTGTGCAGCATGAGTGGGTCTTTCTTGTTCTCCCCAAGGAAGGGGAAACAGTGACTCTGCCGGAGGTTCCTGCCAGGTCCTGGGCAGATAGCTCATTTGTTGGAGTAAATGCAGTGTGGTCCAGTTACTTCTAACAAATACTCTATGGTATATTTTCAAAGAATAATGGAGTCTTAGGAGGAAGAGACCAGAATTCCCATTCTGCCATTGTTATTCATTGTAGAAACAGTGAAGTGAGACTGGAAATTCATTTTGGTGTTTGATTTTATTGTTGCTTCATCCTTAAAAATGCTCACATTGATCAGCCAGCATTGTTCCAAAAGGAAAGGTAAGTTTTATCTTTGTTAGACTTCCCAAAATAAATACTCTCTGAATCCCCTTAACTCTGAGATTCTAAGAGAAAAGAAAGGGGGGGAAAAAGGATGAGAAGGAGCTTGCATTCCCTGATTAACCTTGAGGAGTCTGAATATGATCTAGTCTGGTAACAGAATGGCTGTTGGGGTGGAGTCCTTGAGTAGCAGCACTGTCCTGAGATCTCAGCAAATGGGGCCCGCTTTCAGGTCCCTGGAGGTACCACATCCTGATGCTCTTCTGCAAAATGTTCTAAGCTCTTCTCTCACCCCTAGGGATAGGTGGGGTGAGCGATAACATTCAGGGAGGCATGCCCATGCTAGGTCGGGAGTGTGGAGTTGCTCTATCCCCCTTGGGAGACACACTTCAGACACTCTTCAGCACCTGGCAGACACTCTTCGCATGGTTTCTTCCAGGTTCCCCATTGACTCTGAACATCATACCTATGTAGTTCTTGGAGCCTTGTCACCAGGTGCAGGTTCTAGAAAGGTGGTGTGACAAATTCCTTTGGGTTACTGTAATATTTCCCCATGAAATTATGTGGGATTGAACTATCATAAAAGAACTGATGGGGGACTGTGGTCATGGCTCAGTGGTAAAGTGCTTGCCTAGCACATGTGAAGCACTGGGATCTATCCTTAGCACCACATACAAAATAAATAAATAAATAAAAATAAAGGTATTATGTCTATCTACAACTAAAAATATTTTTTTTAAAAAAAGAAAAGTGCTGTTCATGGTGATGACTTCTATTTTTATATAGATAGGAGCCCTGAAAAAAAAATATTTTCCTGGTGTACCATACCTTTTAGCAATGACTTTGCCAACAACATCCAAAGACTGACATTTCATCCTAGATAGATATGATCTAAGGTAGGGGATGGAGATGGGTAGTCACCAAGTGCCAAAGAGCAAATGAGCTGGGGATATGGGCACAGTGAGAGGTGGGAGGTCCTCAAAGCTTGGACTTGTAGCAGAGTCAGGGTGCCAAAGCACCTGAGTTCCAACCCCACCATTAGCTCCTCTCCACAGACACCTGGGCTGGACCCAGATATGGTTGAATAAGCACCGATGGTAAGAATATAACCCTATAAGGTATTGGGGAAAGTTATAAAGAGTTTCAATTGCCCTGAGCTCAAAAGGAACCAGGTAGCAGGTATATGAGAAAGGAAGATGGCTGTGCCTTCTTGACCTTCCTGCTGGCTGGGTTTTCACCACAGCCAGGTGTTTCAACAGAGTTCAGAAAATTTGACACAGGGGCTCTTCTCTCACACTGAACTACAGGGAATGGGATAATCAGAAAGGGAGAGGACCCAGATTGTTACAAGAGCACGTAATGATGGATGAAAGCAAAGCAAATTTTGTAGTACTCAACTATTTTGAATCATGAGTTTCAAATTTCACAAGTGTTTGAGAAGGATAACTCCCAAATGCGTTCAAAATCAGGTATTAAAATACCTAGGCTGTTTTAGTAACCACAGATTTATCATTTGAAGCTAACTACCATTTATTTATGTTTGCAAATGCTTATTGAGAATCTAATACATAGTAGTCACATGGTGCTTTCTCATTCAGTTATTCTTCACTCTTTCTTCCTTACCGTTTTTTAAATGTTTTATTTTTTATTGGATAAATAAAAATTGTATTTATTTATTGTATACAACATGATGCTTTAAAATACATATTAATTGTAAAATGCCTCAATCAAACTAGTTATTCTCTACCTCAGTTTGAAACTAAACCAGTTGTTTTGATTTTATTTGTCTTAAAATGTAAAATATTCACTTATTTGTTCTGGAAGTAGTTAGTAGCTTGTGTTCTATATAACACATGTAAGAAAAATGTTGATATGCCTTTCTTATCAAATGTCTTTAAAAAGTTAAAGTGACTTGGCTGAAAGAACATTGATCCAAGACTCAGGCAGGGAATTTCTCTCTTCACAGTGCCCTCCCTATATCGTTGATGGGCTGTTCAAACCCACTGGTCACGACCATAACTATTCTATCTACTGTGGCGCTGTTCCTGGTTTAACCGTCTCTCTATTGTTTTCTATCTCTTTCTCCCCAGAAGGCCAGGGCTTTGTGAGTGAGGATGAGTACCTGGAGATCTCTGACATTAAGCGGGACCAGTCTGGGGAGTATGAATGCAGCGCCTTGAATGATGTTGCCGCACCCGATGTGCGGAGAGTAAAAATCACTGTAAACTGTGAGTTGACCGGCCGTCCGAGAATTCTGGGGAAGAAGAGGGAATAGAGATGAGGGGGAGAAGAGGGAATGGCAGTACCATTTGCTGAGAGACCCACATTCAAGTGGCTGCCATCAGGAAGATTCTTTACAGATGGCTTTGTCCCATTCTTGCCTCCATTGCCGTCTGTCCATGGAGTCTTCCTGAGACCCTCAGAGCTCTCAGCCAGTGGAGACAACTGCTAATTTAGACTTGGTCTGAAGGCCAGAAGAAGATGCTGTTGTCATCACAGTGTCTTACAGGGAGTTCTTTCTCTGTTATTTTACTGGGAAGGAATTGTGTCACCAGACACAGCAAATGGCTGGACATGCCTCTCATCTTTCACTGGAATCACTCTGTATGGTTTTGTTGTTTGTTTCCTTGTTTATTTTGTCCACAGACCCTCCCTATATCTCAAAAGCCAAGAATACTGGTGTTTCGGTTGGCCAGAAGGGTATCCTGAGCTGTGAAGCCTCTGCGGTCCCGATGGCTGAATTCCAGTGGTTCAAGGAAGACACCAGGTACCTCTGAACTAGGGCAGCTCTGAAGCAGAGCTGATGGACCATTCCTCACATGGAAGGAAGATGATAAAGTACAGGAGAAAGATAAGGCAAAATCAAAATGTGTTACAGCCTCCTTAGTGACAGAGTCTCAGTTTAGAACTAGGAGAATAAAAATGAAGTAAGCTGGAAAGAGACAAAATGAACTGATCTCGTTTCAGAATCTGAGATGAGTTTTAGATGTGGTAGTCTCTGATGACTAGAAATCAAAACATTTTGAGTGTTGAGTGTGCTTATCCTTTCATTTTTCCTCTTGGTGGAGTCTGTGGTACTTAGGGTTTGAGTTGGAGGGACTGAGTTACTTAAAGAAAAGGGTTTGGGGAAAGAAAGCCTCTTTACAGAATTTATCTATGAGGTCTTTGCATTCTCTCAGTGCCCACTGTCTGCTGTTTCCTTCCTTTGGTGGGACCAGACCAACAGTACCTTCTCTTATTTCAGATTAGCCACGGGCCTGGATGGAGTGAGGATTGAGAACAAAGGCCGCATATCCACTCTGACTTTCTTCAATGTCTCAGAGAAAGATTATGGAAACTATACTTGTGTTGCCACAAACAAGCTTGGGAATACCAATGCCAGCATCACATTGTATGGTGAGTGCAGAACGCCTGGATGCAGTGGGCTCAGCCACATGGGGGAGCTCCAGGGACCCAGGAGGGAGGACAACATGATCTGCTTGGCTTGTGTCCATCCATACTACTCAAATCACCACCCTTAGCTAAGAACTCCTTCTCCCTGTCATTTCCCTGGCATGTGATACAGTGATGTTTGCAAAGTGATTCATTCTCCTGATCATTGAAAGGCAGTTTGTTCCTTTTAAAAGGACTAAACCAAATTTCGAATCCATTTGAATGTGGAACCCATAAAGAAGACAACCACAGACAGTTCAACTGTACTACCTTGTTAAGTTCTGCATGGACAAACCAGATGTGATTTTAAGATCCAATACCTTCTACAATAAAATTCTGTGATTCTGGAGTTTTCATTTATGGTGTTAAACTAAGTCAACTGCTGCCATCTTGATTCTCATGTTGATTGCTGTGCCATATTCTCATTGACTGAGATGAATGGAGCAGAGGTCTGAGTCCTCACCAGATGACTGCTCTATTCACAACTCCAGCATGAGGCCCTCCTCTGAAGTCGTTTCTCCCATAGGACAGAAGTACTTCAGAGGAACTAGGTCTCAGGAGCCATGACTGGCCTCCGAGAAGCCCTTTCCTTTCTTCACTTCATATTCCCACCCTGCTATGTGCATATTCTTGTCCGACATTTCACACCATGGGCCAGGGCCAGCTTATTTGTGTGTGTGTGTGTGTGTGTGTGTGTGTGGTTTTTTTTTTCTTTTTTTAATTTTTTCTTTACTTGTGTATGTATGTGTTTATTTGCTGTGGTTTAGTTAGAGGGAAGCATCCAGTAAATAGGATGAGGAGGGATCCATATTTCCATGTGCATCTCAGACCCTGAACAAGCTTTCAGCATTGAGATGAACTAAACTTTTTCCACCAACCATCTGAAATGTGTGATCTATGTCTTTGTTTTCTCTCTGCATTGTGTGTGCATTGTGCTGTGTGTGTCTTAGAAATAAGCCCCTCATCAGCAGTGGCAGGTGGGTACAGCATGTTCCTTCCTTCCTCTGCCTGCCTGAATGCTTATGCTTTTGTATATAAGCCTTCTTCAAAGATAGGCTTGCCTGCTCCCCATCCCTGATGTACTTCTCCATAGTGGACAGACTTCAAGGGGTATGGTTTGCACAGTTTAGATAACAAGCATGTAGAATATGATGGCTTTCACACACACACACACACACACATACACACACACAGCTATAGAATATCATTATAAATCTCAGGGGAAGTGGTTTCAGCCCCCAAATAATAAACTTCTACTTGGTTGCCTCTAACAAGAAGGAGTATTTCTGCATACAGAAGTATCAAGAGGAACCCAGCCAAATGGATTATTAGATGACTGTCTTTAAGGAGAAGTCACCCTAGTATGAATGTTTCATTCTTTTAGCCCAAAGCAAAGAGTGATACTGACTTAGTTATAAAGTTTTATTTTAAAATAGAAGTATATGAATATTATACCTACTATTTGCCAAATATTTACTAGTTTTTAGGCATCAAGACAGTAGCATAAAACAGGTTATTAACACCATTTTACAGATAAGTAAAAGGAGGACCAAAGAGGTTGTGTGACACTAAAGACTGAAGCATGTAGCTAATGAATAGGCACAAAATCAGATATAAAACTCAACTCCTTTATTAAGTACTTGAGTATTTACCCAGCAATGATAACTGGGGGGAGAGACAAACACACACACACACACACACACACATACACATACACGTTCACACACACAACACACACACATTGTATATTTGGAAAAGGCAGTAGTTAGTGCCCAGCTCTTCTTCCAGAGATGGAAAACTCAAAGCCCTACTTTTCTAAGTAGGGCTTATCACTTGGAAAGTGATAACATTTGGATTTTAGAGACCTAAAATCAGCTCTGCAACTGTCACTTCTCACAACTGTGTATCCAGGGCAATCACAGACTAACATAGCCTGTCACACCTTAATTACCTTAACTGTACATCCCTTAGTCTTGAGGACACTGCAGGTAAAGAGCAGAATTAGGGTGCTGTCCTGCCTGTGACTTCACTTATGTCTTCAGTTCGTAAGGGTGTCAGTAGCAGGGAAAACAGACAATGGAAAGGCCTAGGACCGACAACCAGATGACTTGAATTCTCGTCTCTCTCTGCTGTTAAGGAAAGAGATGTGTCATAACAGATAACAATAGCCAATGTATACTAAGACCATATGAATCTTCTCAGGTTGCTGTAATAAAATGACACAGATTGGGTGACTTAAATTACAGACCACTTTTTTTTTTTTTAATAATTCTAGAGGCTAGAAATCCAAGGTGTGAGTTCGGTCAGTTCCATTTGAGTAAGGGCTTGCTTCATGGCTTGTCACCTGTTGCTGTTTCCTTATGTAGCCTTTCTGCTGAGTTTTTATGAGGGAACAGGAGTGGAGAGAAACTTACTAGTGTCTTTTCTTATAAGGATACTAATAGTATTGGATCAGGGTTTTTCCAATGACTTCACTTAACCTAAAATACCTCCTTATATGCTCCATCTCCTAATACAATCACACTGAGTGTTAGAGGTTCAACCTAAGAATTCTGGAGGGATGGATGAAATTCAGTTTGTAGCAAAGACATAGATTTCCATCTCAGTTCAGCCACAAGTCAGTTGCATACTTGATGAAGATTTCTTACCTCATATACCATTCTTACCTCATATACCATTGGGATTTTAATGCTTGCTTTAAAAGGCTGGTGAGGTGGGTAAATGAGGGCACCCCAAAATAGGTTTAGGTGTGTGACTTTGACAGCACACAAAGACTGTAGGTCTCAGTTTGTAGAGCTGAAACTGGGATGATGCTCTCTTGGCCTGCTTATAAAAGAGTGTCACTATGAAATGTCAGTAGGATAATACTCATAATATGTGGCCAACTGAAAACTCTTGCATACCTGCTAGGTACTGTGAATCCCCCTGGTATGTGCCTCTCTGTCATGGCCCATGCTATCACTGCTTCCATTCCTGTACCTGCTTTCCTTTCTTCCATCTCCTTTGACCTTCAATTACAGCACACTCCAGTCCCTAATGTTCACTCTGTCTCACTTCACCTGATAGGATCCACTTACCTGTCATCACCTATTCCTGAGGAAAGCCTTCCCTGACCTTTCTTAAATCAGTTTCCCCCACTGTACACACTCCCATACTTTGTTTCTGCCTGCTGTACTCACTGTGTGTTGGTTAGCCTTCTTTGACAAATATATACTCAGTCCCTGTCATGAGCAGGTCACTGTTTATGATATACAGTAGAGATATGACAGATAGGCTCCTTGTTTCTGGGGCATAATCCTCTCCTTGAACTTTTGCTTTTGTTTTAACTATTGTATTCAATTAAAGTCCTTCTTCCCATTTAGCTTATAAGCTTCATGAACTAGGGACCATATCTGGCTTGATCCCTAGAATCCAACACAGAGACCCACACACAGTAACTGGTCAAGAAAATTTTGTGACTGACAGAATGCATGAATATGCTAAAATAAAAAAGTTGTGCTCCTGATGCCCAAAGTTCAGTGGCCAGGAATGAAATGTGACAGGATGCTATAGGGAAATAGTTCTCAGAGAGTCTTTAAGATCAGGCTCTGCTGTTTGCTGGCTGAGTGACTTGAAGAAAGTCAGTCTCAGATGGCCTGGTATTTTCATCAGTAAAAGCCTTCTGTGTAAAATGTCTTCTGTGGAACTCACACATACTAATTCTCTAATGCTAGGATTGAGTAGCAATAGATGCAGCACAATATCAGAGTAATAGTGTCCAGCCAGCCCACCTTTCTGCTGACCATGATTGTTCATCCTAGTGCTCAGAGCCTCATAATTACAGCTAATGATAGCCACAAACTACTTACTATGTATAGCACCACTGAACTAACTATTTTACATGGTTTGTCTCCCTGAATGAGTCTATAAATACCATATTTATCCAGATTTTGTGCACAGGAAATTGAGAGGTGAGGCAGATAACTCAATCTCACTGATTTATAAGCACATGAGCTGTTATTTGCAACCATACACTCTAATTTCAGTACCTGAGGGCTTTACTACACTTCCAAACTAATTGTTAACGCTTGGCAACCCATCATGGATATGGTAGATGATCTGGATGGAACCCCATACAAATAAGCCATTTGCTTGGATTCTACTCTTGTGCAAAATTCTCCCTTCTCTTATCTACTCATTCTGCTAAAAGACAAATTTTACATTTAAAATTCATATGTTCATACTATCTAAACACACACACTATTCCCAGGTATTCATTTGTATTTACCTCACAATCTGTAAGTCCATATTTTGAGAAGCCCCTTGAACTATGTCCCTATAGGTTCCAGCAAAACATGCTTCCCTCATACATACCCTTTGTATATTTCTGCACCTACATGCAAAGAAAAAATAAAAATAGGACAAAAGCAATTTCAAAGGAACAAAAAATATAGAAGATTATGGCAACAATGGGTGGGTGAATGGGTTGAAACATGAAATGATTAGGAAAAGTGAATAGCAACACAGCATGTGGGTGATCACCAAAAATCAGCCAGTGGTTGACATCTGCATGAAGCACTTCTTCCTCATCACACCAATTACTACCTGGCACAGAGCCACAGAGACAGGACTGTTGCCCAGGTAGAATTCAGCTCAAGTATCGAACTAGACACCCACTTCCCTCAGCCCCAGGCAACCAAAGTTTGTGCAAAGGCAACAGAATGCAGAGAAAAGTCCAGCTTCTATAGAGAGAAGGACTGAATTATGGTCTGACTCTGGTAGACAAGCCTTCACACTGTTTGTTTCTCAGTTGTTTTTGAAATACAAGAAAAGAACAAGAACACCCAATTTACCTTTAGGTTTCTAGATGTCTTCCCTGAATTGAGAAGAACTGAGGATGCAGGATGAGGGACAGACCTCCATAGCTGCCATCCATAACTTTGGAGATGGTGGCATGCCCCCTGTGCTCTTGAAAAGGAGCTTGC